ATCAAAGTCTGGTTAGCAGACAACTTGCTGGAATTATGACAAAACTGACCACATAAAAAAATAACAGGAATCTCAAGAAAAATGAGAATGATAACGTTAACGTTGTAACTTAACAAGTACAGGATGCGCTACTGATGACAATTCATAGTTTTGTTGATGATTGTATACTGAATTTAGGAACTTCCTTCCATACATCTTCCCATCAGAAATTAATGTAGAATTATGTTGCAGCTGACTTTGGGAATATATATCTGGTTGATAGAAAAACTCTGGACGTGGTGGGGGTGGGAGATGTTGGTATTGCACCCTAACAAGAGCAAATGTACTTTGCAAAAGGGGAGACATAATCATGAGTTGAAGAAAAACCTCATTTTTTTAGCAGCTCAATGAGGGTGTTCATTTAGTAGTATTCTCATATAACACCTGGAAGGTTACCAATGAAGCATTAATACTGACTCGAGATAAGAAAACTGACATACTATATATGACTACAGTTTTACTCAACACCGTTGGTACTACAGTTGTAGAGAGCATGACAAATCTATGACATTGCAGACTTAGTTACATGAGTCAGAGTTATGAAAAAATCTTGCAAGATGAAAATTCAAGCAAGTGGGAGCTGACAAGCAAGTGGGAGACCATAGAGAATGAGATGGATTCCCTGTCAGAGAATCATACTTGGGAGTTGACAGAACTTCCACCGAGGAAGAAGACATTGCACAGAAAGTGGGTGTACCGACTGAGCTTGATGGCTGTAAGAGGTACAAGACTAGACTTGTTGAGAAGGGTCTTCAACAGACACAGGATATTGCTCACGCAGTGGGAGTTGTAAGCAAAAACATAAGTAACCCAGGAAAGAGTCTGGAGGTACAAGGCTGTGTTGAAGCTGTTATGTCAGCTAAGGGTATTTTTCTTGAGAAATTGAAATTGTGTGCAGTTTTAGTTGGTCTTCTAGCTTGAAGACATAAGCTTTGAGTTGTAGAGGTGGAGTATATGAAGGTTGAGGAAAATGTCGGTACAACCAGCAGATGATGCAACCAGTGGATGATGCAACTCGTGTACCTGTCTCTAAGTGGGAGAAAGTGGAGCCCATGTCCACTTGTAGAAATTAATTGAACTTCCATATTTTCTCTACACAGTTTCTTGTTTTATCAGGTGATGCTTTTCTGAGGAGGATCCAGCTCATTAATGCTCTTCTCACCACCCTCTAGAAATCGTGATTTTGGAAATTGCCTTTGCTAGGCCAAATTAAAGCAAGTAATAATCAATCAATATTACTTAATGCCTAAATTTTTGCCGAAGATAGCTTCTCCTGCCTTCTTCAACAATTTGGCTTTGCCTTTAAATGGGCCAAAAGGTATGCTAGAAAGTGCATGACATGGAGTAGGCTTCCTCTCTCATAGATTTGTTTGGTGTGTGGTTCTACAGAAGGAAATAAATAGCTCTATGTTATTTCCTTGGGAAATCTCCTATTCAACATTGGTAGTTTTCCCGGTCTTCTTCTTGGGTACTATTGCTCACGATTAGTGAGAGAGAGGAAAAGAGAGAGAGGAAGGGAGAGAGAGAAAGAAGCATGGAGTTTTTATTCCCTTCTTCTTCGGTGTTGGTGCTCACGGGTAGAGAGAAAGAAGGGAGGGGAGAGAGGGGAAGAGAGAGAAAGTTATTTCTTATAAGTCGACGTGATCGACAGTATAATTCCTCAAACTAATAAAATCCTCTGTAGCTCGGTGGACGTAAACAATTTACCAAATCACGTAAATTTGTGTATACCGCTGTGTTTTCTATTTGCGAATTTCTCGTTCTAATTTTTCACTTTATTGCCGTCATCACTGTATCAAACACCGCAGTTAAAATTATAATGAGAAAAAGTTTTCACAACAGTGATACTTATCAAACACCGCAGTTAAAATTATAATGAGAAAAATATCAAAATGATTTCTCCACTTTTTATCATGGGACTTTTTGAAGTGTCAATTTAGTCCCGAATTAACTAAAAATAGTCCTCAAATTCTATAAATGGATAATTATTTTAACTTTCATTTAAAAAATTTGAAATTTAACATAACATTTTATAAATTCTAACATTAAAATGATCTTATAGAAACAGTATAGGGATCATTTTGCTACTTTATCAAATCAAATGTACAGAAGTTTATGAAATCTGCATTATGGAAATCTTCTGATAAAGACAATTAAAAGGCGAGCATTTAAATGGAACTAATTTATAAGCAACAAGTGATGAAACTATGGCTAAATGACAAACCTTGACTGCCCATAGAACTTGGAGTAGAGGCGGCAGAAGCTGAGGGTTCAGGCTGAGACTCAACCGGCTCCCTTTCAACTAAATGCATAACGACTCCATCCTCCAAATCTGATTTTGTAAAGGCCGAACTCGAAGAAAAATAATGCATTTGATAAAAATGTTCATTTTCAGCCTTGATTTGTTTTCCTATGTTCTTTTTATTTCTTGATAAATGTACATATTCAAAATTAATTATAAAATTTTATAATTATATGCTACACCAAGGTAGATGTGGGAAACTTGCTGCTGCACCATCTTTAGGTGCGTTTTGGGCAGAGATACAGTGGTGGTGCGTTGAAATTTTGATGGAAAGTTGTATTTTGTAATTTGACTGGTTAAGTGCGATGGTTGCTAAAAGTGAAGGCTTTGTTTGGGGCAGCTGTAGTCTGTTAAAAAATTTTGTGCAACAGCTGTGACAGGAAGCTCTTATACAGAAGTTTGTTGTTTGTTTTTTTAGAGTTTTAAAACAGTTGTACTGGTTAAGTGCGATGGCTGCTAAAAGTGAAGGCTTTGTTTGGGGCATCTGTAGTCTGTTAAAAAATTTTTGTGCAACAGCTGTGGCAGGAAGCTTTTATACAGAAGCTTGTTGTTTGTTTTTTTAGAGTTTTAAAACAGTTGTGCTGCAGCTATTTCTTATATTTATGCTCCTGTACGATTATGTTGTTTCTAATAGAACTAATCCTGTCAGCACATTGTATACTTGAAAGCAAACATACAATTTGAATGTTATAAAATAAAAACAGATACCTCACAAAAAAAAAAAAAAATGAAATCAATGTATGGAGTGGATTTGTAAACAACACACAACTGTATGTAATTATTCCAAAAAAAAATTCCTCTGGCAGAGGCCAAGAAATAGCAGGAAAGTCACATGGGCTACAACAGAAAGATCAGAAACCGCAAAAAAACAAACCATGGATCCCAAGGAGCAAGCCATAAATGACAAATCTTCGAGTCATAAGCTAAATTCAATGCCAAAAGTGTAGGGTAGAGATTATCAATGGAAGAATGCCACCAGAACCAAAGAACCAAATATATAGAGAGAATGTAAGATGGCAGGAGGAGAGAAATGACACCGGAACTTGCCGAACACAGTTGGCGGGAGAGGATGAGGAACTAGGGTCTAGGGCAGAGCCAAGCACAATGTCGAAGCACGATAAGGAGGAGAGGAGGAGAAGCTAGAGAAAAGTGAACATTGTTCGGGATCGAAGGCAATAGAGATATTATCACACGAACAAAACACGGGCCTCAAGATAAAATCCGCGGCCCGACAATTTATTCAAATAAGCCGAAAAGTCACCGTAATTTTTTTTCCCAAATGTCAAATTCTACATTTTTTTTAGAGCTAAAAAGCTGCCCAAACATAGCCTAAGGTGTAGTCAAATGTTTTAAAAATAAATTATAATAATTATTATAGTTTTTTTAATAATATATATATATTTTTTTTTCAGCAGCTTCACAGTTTCGACTGCCTAAAATGATGGCTTTTCTTCTTCAAATAAGAAAACGTAGGATTTGGCTCAACAATTCAGTAATAGATTGCAAATAAAATGAAGAACATTAAGTAGTCTAGAGCAAGTGCTCGCTCTGTTCGAAAAAAAGATAAGTAGGATTTTGTAACTCAGACTTTACTGATGGCCTTTTTGAATGAGAAGATTGCTGGAGAACTGCGGCAGTTGCAACTTAGCGGTGGATCCAATTTTACTAGAATTTTCAGAATTGCTACAAAAATTTAGTTTCAAACATATATTTCGATTGAAAACATTAGGGAACATGAAATTAGGACAAATAATATATATATATATATATACATATATATATATATATATATAGCCATTTTTCTCATTCACAAACGCTATCAATGAAGTCTGTGTTGTGGAATCCTGCTCGTCTTTTTAGCACTTACATTTAACTTCTTATCATTCCTTATTTTAATTTCAATCAATTTGTGATGTATTGAGCGCATGACCACCTTCTTCTCATTTGAAGAACAACCAATTTCATTTCAGTTTAATAAGAAAAATAGACAGTTGCAACAGATTGAAAAATCAGTTGTGCAACTGCTGCAGAAAAAATTATTGTTCAAAAAATTAAAAAAATTATGGTGGTTATCATAATTTTTTTTTTTAAAAGAAAATTTAAACCACAGCTTTCTAGCAGTAATTGTAGCTAGTCAGGTCAAATTGTAAAATGCAACTTTTCACCACAGTTTAGTTCTTAAAATGCTGTGTGACTCCACATCGCCACGACACCTCTGGAAATAAACCTATAGATCTTGAAATATAAATCGACATCATATTTTTTCACAAATAACTTTGTAATGCTAGACTCATATCAAAATCATTTTAATAGTTATTATGTTTTAATTTTAGCTATTTAAAACATTATAGAACAATATTAAAACTCATGATTTTATCTAGGGACAGGCGTACTAAGTTGCTATTTACATATAGGCATATATGTGCGCACACATTCAAGCTTCAAGTGAAGTCATAATATGTAAATTAAATCAATGCAAAAGGGTTAGAAATGATTGACAAAATGTTAGGACCTATGCCAAGCCAAAAAAAAAAAAAGCTTAACAAATTAAGATAAAAGAAGAACATAAAATATTTAAATTTGCAGGATACTGAGGTCAAATAGAAATTCATCATCCCTGAGAACCCTTCCTCCATAGAGCAGCCGCTGCTGTCTTAAAGGAACACCAGTTTTATTCCAAATCAACTGCTTCAAATCTGCAACAAACATCTACAAAATCCCACGAATTAATACAGCAACAAATCAATTCAACCGCATGTAAGTAAAAATTTCAGAAATACAGTCCTTCAAAATATCATTATCTGTTGTCATACCTTTACACCAATTAAGAAATTAATCAAAAAGTTATTTTGCCACTGATATAGAGAGAAAATTTACATCTTCATTCACATGGAAGGAATATGTTTGTCCATCGAGAGTCTTGATGTTGATGTCAACAGTTGAGTCTGAATCGTCACCATTAAGATACATGAAACTAGGAGCATTCAAGCCGGACGTCTCTGTCATTCTGCATGAAAAAGTGAAAGCTCTGCTTCGTTACTCATGCAGCAATACAAGTACAGCAATATGAGCAAAATGAGTTAAGTGGTAGAAAAAAACAAGTGTAACAAAAGACTGAATGCTGATGGATTGATCAATCTTAATAACCTTAAACGACGATTTCTTAAACAGAGAATATGAGTGATGATTTCGAGATGAAAATGCAGAGGAGGCGGCGTTTAGCGGGCGGTGAAGATCAGAAGAGCTCCTTGTTCTTGAATAGTCTAGACACTGTAGAGAGCGACGCTTTGCCGGGTAAGTCGTAGACGGGTGGGAAAGGATCCGTTGCTGTAACAGGCCGTTGGAGCTGCACCATTAAATTTCGAACTTGAAGAAAAAGTCCAACTTTTTTATTTTTAATTATATGCCTTTACATATCTGACATCAAATTTTTGTTTTTTTTTTTTTAATTTTGCACCATCTAAATTTTTTAATATCACATCACAAGTATCCTTATTTAAGATTTAAAGAGGGGAAATATGTTTTTATTTTTCATTCATATTGATAAAATGATATGTATGTAAAGAATACAATTTTGATGTAAAATATATAAATACATACAAAATGAGTGATATATATGTAAATGTTACAAGAAAATATTCACTCTGTCAAAATAATAATAATAATAATAATAATAGAGTAAATATATAGGGATGATGATATAGGAGACTCTCGAAATAAGGCAAATAAAACAAACAAAAATAAATGTCCGATAATTTGCGGGCTTAGTATAATACACTTTAGAAGCTATAAGAAATTCAACAAAGAAGTGAGGCAATAAATATCATTGTTGAATCCTTTTATGTGATGTTGGGTACCGTGTCGTTCGTGTTCTCATACAATCAGAAAGAAAGGCTTGTGAAGAAATGATCAATGTGGTAGAAGATGTTGGATGTTTGCTTAAGAAGTTCTACCCTTTGATCCTCTTAAAGAATCACAAGAGAGGTACAAAAGAGTCAGAAGAGATAGAGAGTGTCTCCTCTCTAGAAGGCAAGAGAGCCCATCTTCATATTCTTATAACTCTTTTGGATTACGAATAAAAAAAAACATTAAGAACCTTTAGTACATTATGAGGTCTGTCCACGAAATGCTAATGAAAGATGATAATATCACATGTGTTATACAATCCATAAAGGGACATGGATGCGTGTCTCTTCATTAATGGTGATCGAGATACATAATCAGTGGCACTTTGACAACTAAGGATAGCAATGCACTACATGTCAGCATCCACAAGTAGTAGTACATGATAACTGACATTTCGATAAATGAGGCTAGCAACTTATCTTAGCAATTCAACCTCGACAGCATGCATGTACATGACAACTGACACTTCTATAGGTGAGGCTGGCAATTCACCTCAGCTGGTTAATCTCGTCAACTGGTACATGACAGCTCAAACCTCGATAGGTGAGGTTGACAATTCACCTCGACAAGTTAATCACAATAGCCGCTACATGACAAATAGCAAATCACCTCAACCATATGACTATAGTGATTAGCACATGGCAAATATGTTTTGAAAAATATGAGCTTTCTAGCCCCGCGAGGTCTGTTAACTTATATATCGACCAATAAAAGTCTTTTATTAGAGTACAATCCTAAAAAAGTAAAAAACAATACAATAAAATGTCTTATCAGCTATTAAGTCAAAGTTGGATAAAAAGAAAAGAAATTGAGTGTCTTTATATGACAAATCTTTCTCAAATTCCATTTCTTGTAGTTCGACCATGATTTCGTTCGACATATTATTTCAACCTCATCATGAAAAGGATATTTTGAAGTATTTTCTTCTATAGAATAATGAAAATTCTAAAAATTACATCAGAACAACAAACATCAATAGAATCAGTGAAGAACCATGAACAGCACAGATAATGAAGAAAAGGGCTAAACAAAACAAAATGAGAAATTATATTTGTTGCCATCATAGCATTAGGGTAAAACTTCAATTTGCGAACAAGACATGGTGAGGTGAAATCCAAAGCAAATCAACATTATCAATAACAAGCCAACATCAGCAGACATTTGCATTTATTATTAGGGTAAAACTTCAATTTGCGAACAGGACATGGTGAGGTGAAATCCGAAGCAAATCAACATTATAAATAACAAGCCAACATCAGCAGACATTTGCATTTATGAAAAAGGGGCATTTACGTATATACATATCACCTAATACCTATGCATTTACATATCAAACACCTAAATTTCACATTTTTAGATTTATACCACTGAAATTTTTCATGTTATACAAATAATGTAATTATTTTACCTTTTAAAAAGTAAAATACGCATTTTGTCACACACAAATTTTGGTTTAAGTGTTAGATTTGTAAATACATAGGAATTAAGTGGTATGTATGTAAATATTCTTTTGAAAAATTATCCCATCCCAAATCAACTATGTGAATGCACTGTTAGAAATTATAAATTTTCAAAAATATAAACATTATATATATAATCGTATATTTTAGACTGCTAAATAAAAAAAAAATTATATTCCTCATTATAGCTTTTATAAAGTTCTTGTTTTCCAGCACCAGTTCCTTAACCAGTTTTAATAAACGAGTGCTTTTGAGTCGGACAAATCATAGAGCTTAAATAATTACAAAAGCAGCGTGCATTCAATGTAATCCAAGAAGTACAAAGCAACTAATTCATCTCACCGCCCTAGTTGCTTGCAATCATCTCCAAGCCCTAATATTGCTTTCAGAATCATAATATTATTTTCCTAACGGGGGCTCTTTGAACGGCAGCATACTGTATCTCCCAAAAGAGCTCTTTGGGATAGTGAGCATCCCAGGGCTTAAATACTGTTTTTCGGCCCTATAACTAGCTGATGTGAGACTTTTTGTCTGTGATATTCTCCTCCAGCCAATCACGTGACGCCCTCATCACGGATTCGCTCCTCTGCGGGTCTCACTGGACCATGGAGAGTTCACACACATGACAGACATTAATCTGCTTTGATATCATTTGTCACCTCTCAAAAGCGCTCTTAGGGGTGGTGGACAACCCAAAACTTAAATATTGCTTTTCTGTCCTACACCTAGTCGATGTGAGACTTTTTGTCCGTGACAATATGCCTGCATTGCATTCCTTGTAGAGAGAATTTGCAAATTCGAGTATTTGTTTAGAAGAATTTAAAATTTAATGTTAAGTATCGACCTATCTAGAATTCAGTCTTTAGTTCTTTTTTCTATATTTCAAATTTGACTAATTAGGCATTTCTTTCAAGTTCATGCCTCAATGCAATGTAAAGTGTTGCCAACCGCCGCTATCTCCTCCTACACCCCCACTTGCCTCCACCGGCCGCCGCCGTCAATGCATTAATCTTTATATTTAAAAATATTATTTTTATTTGACTTCAAATCAAATAAAAAAAATGAAACCCTTTATTTAATTTACAATGAACCAAATATATTCCAAATACAACCCATTACACAAGCATTATATTTATTTTACATTATATTATTTTTTATGCGGATCATACAGCCCTCATATAAAAAAAACAGAGAAACATTCAATTGTCACAGCATACTAAGAACAAGTATGACTAACACCATGTCTGTCTTATAAATATTATATAAATAACATATGTACACAATGTAATTCTGTGGGTCTTCTGCTCCTAACAAAATACTTCTTTTCTGTTTTTATCAAATTAGGCCTATAATTCCAATATATAATATGATGGATTCAATGAGTTTATTCACCAACCATTAGATCTCAAGCTACCACAAATTCATCTCCCCCATCCAAGCAATATATATTCAACCATGCATTTATATCTCGACTGAATATAAGTCAATTTAATAAAATATAAGAAAAATATTTAGCTGTCATGATCGGTCCCACATTCATTTAGATGCTATTTGTTAGGGCTGTCAAAAAAGCTCGTTGTTCGCGAACAGTTCGTGTTCGGTTCGTCAATGAGTTCGTGTTTGATTTGTTCGATAAGTAAACGAGAGAAACGCGAACAAATTTTTTTCGTTCGGTTAGTTAAACGAACCAAACACGAACAGTGATGCGTTCGTTCGTGTTCGAATCGTTATTGTTTGAAATATAAAATAATATAAAATAATTATATATAAAAAATTTATTATATTTTAAAACATTAAATTTCATAAATTATAATATATAATAAAATAATAATAATAATATATTAATATACTATAGTAGTAATATACTAATATAGATATTGTATATTTATATAATATAAGTTATATAATTAATATATAATATTATTTTTATATATTAATATTAGAGATGACAAACTAGCTCGTCGTTCGCGAACAGCTTGTGTTCGGTTCGTGTTCGGCTCGTTCGTTAAGAAACGAACACGAGCTTATTTCAAACAAACTAAATTTTAAACGAACTGAACACGGACACAAGCTTTGTTCGTTCGTGTTCGATTCGTTTACACCCCTACTATTTGTCTGTGGCAACATTGTTGTAAAGTAAATCAAATGCATTTTGAAAATTCAGCTATTTATCATGCTGAGTTAAGTCGGTGTTTGGCTTCGACTACATTTTACGTTAAATAGGATTTATCAAATCTTGTTAAGTTCGGGTTTAACAGACCCTCTACAGATCTTATGAGGGACAAAGAGCGAAGTCCTTAAATTCACTTAGTAGGTGGATTTAATAAATACATATTTACGCGTTTATTTAATAATAAAAAATCACTTATATTTATTTTATACTCAATTTGTCGATAATTCTAAAATGTTTCTAATATATTATATTTTTCATACATCATATTTTTATTATTCAGCAATCTCTTTTCAATGAACCCCACAACCCCTTAATTTATTTTGAGAGTATAAAATATGAGGTTTTGATTGATTTAAAGTATTGATTGCATCTTTTAAAAATTTTGATAATTTTGTGACTCATTCTACTAAAAAATTGACAATAATATCCCCAATTAATAGAAATTTGTAATTCGACAATAATATTCTCAATCAATCAAAATTTGTAATTCGACAACAACTATTGGACAGTTATCGGGCTACAACTACTACTATTGGTGGTTAATGGTATTTATATTTATGATGATTGTTAGTTTTGGGCTTTGTCCAAAAATGTTGACTTAACTCTGGTTTCTTCCTCCCCTTGTATTAAAGATTCGGACTTTATTATAAAATTTCGGGAGGTTCATTCTAACAATTTTAGCTAAAAGCTTCATTTGATGATTTAGATTAATTATTTTAATCATATATTTCATATAATCTTAATATAATTGAATGATCTTAAGCTCATCTAGTGCCTCGATTAATTATATGCATGCCAAATTTGTATATTATTTAGCCATTAAGTTAATGTTTTGAAGCTTTCAATTATATTTTGATTTGATTTCAGCTCATATGGCCTCAATTGGATTGACTGTAATATCGTTAGGTCCAATTTGTGTAAACGTTCAATATTAACATTATAAAATTTAACGAAATTGAGCGATGTATGATTAAGGCGGTGAATTTAATCCGAAGATTGTTAATCACTCGAAAGTTGATTCGGATTTTCGCTCGAATCGATATTGGATTGAAATAAATGAGCTGAGTATTGAGCCAAAATTTTGAATTGAATTTTTTTTTTTTTTGAGCTGATTTTTCAATTGCAACTTCATATTTATTTTTCAAAAAATTAGTATTTTTAGCATGAATGTCAACAAGCTTCAATATATTATCAATATATATATATATATATATATTTAAAAATAAGTTTAATTAAATCACCTTTTCATTTCAAGAAACCACCAAATTAAAAAAAAGGTATTTATAAGTACATATTTTAAAAAAAATGACATTAGTATGTATCTAAAATATAAAGAATGTGTAATGATATTCTCACTCGCGACAAAAAGGGTCTTAAGACCTCGAATGCGTTAAAAACCCCCGCAGGTGTCGGTCTCAATACTATCGTTCCCGTAACGGTGAAAGCCACTCTGTAAAATCAGTCTCTACTTAAAAACTGAGAAGCCGGTGAATGAGGCAACCACTCCGCCACCCTCCCCGCCCTTTTAAATCAATGGCAGTTTTCCAAATCCGGCAACCCAATCCCCCTCTTTTTCACTCATAAATTAACATCAACCCTAAATCGTCCCTAGAAATCCTCCAAAAACGTGAAATCATCCCCAATGGCGATCCACGCGAAGACCGACTCCGATTTAACCAGCATAGAGACCTCATCGCCGCCGCGATCTCCCCGGCGGCCGAGCTATTATGTGATGAGTCCAATCAACCCGGAGGCAGACAGGACGTCGATGTTCGATCTTAGTCCGAACGAGTCCCCGATCCATTATCACTATCTCAGCCATCAACGGTATATCTCTCGAGAGTTTTCTGCCTCGCGATTCTCTGCTTCGCATAAGACTGGGTACTGGAGAAGGTTTCCGCCAGAGATGCGGTTCTATGGTGGCGATGGGTGTGAGGAGGGAGAGGAGCTGGAGGAGGAGGAGGAGGAGCAGGAGAGATGGGGGATTCGATGCTATGCTGCCATGTTTGTGATCGGATTCTTTTTAATCTTTGGTCTGTTTTCAATCATTCTGTGGAGCGCGAGTAAAGCACATGAACCCAAAATCACTGTGCAGGTTCTTCTTCTCCATTTTTTCTCCCTTACTTTTTACGAGCAAGTATATAGAGACCACCCAAAACTCACTATTTACAAATTAACCACCCCCTTACCTAAATTTTTCAATTTGGATTTCAACTCAATTTTTGTATGAATTTTTTTTATTTCCAGGACAGCTATATGAAAACATTCGTACAATTTTACAGATATACATTTATGTGATTATACAATATTTAAAAAATCAAACTGAGCCGACCTATTCAACCATGAGTCCATCAATGGTCGGTCTGGTCCGAATATATTATAGAGCCTGTTTTGCAATTGAATTGCTCATAATGTTTGAACGTGCATTGCTACACCTAAGATGGAAAGCCCATGTGTTACTATTGTAGTTGTCGTATCCTTTTAAGAAAGACGTAACTGAAGATTTAAGGAGGTAGGACTAAATTATAATATCTAAAATAATTTAATAATCTTTATTTTTTTTATTTTCTTTTCTTCTATAGTTTAGAAAAACATGAAACTCAGATAACCAAATATTATAATAAATATATACATATACTAATGTAGATATATAAATATATATATTAATATTATATGACAATTATAATTGATTTGAATATATGCTACTATTATATTAATCTTAATAAGAAGTCACAACATTTAATTGTTATTCATTATAATTTTTTTTTAACTTAATGGTGTGATTCTTATATTTATAATTAAGTTTTTTGAAATTAATTGTTAATAAATTTTTAAATAGTTTATTAAAATTATTACGATGTTAGTTATTTAAAAAATGACTTTTTTTTTATATTTTATAATTAATTATTTAGAAATTATATAATTTATGTAGCATTTTATAAATTTATAATTTATTTCTTCATCCCATGAAACTAGCAATTTACCTTCGATTCAAATTTATGTGTGTGTAAGGCACACATTTTCTATCCGGACACCTGACATATCTCTACGTGCGGTGCAGGTTATTTCAAGGTTATTTTCAATAATCTCGAAACAATCCAAAAATAAAGATCGTGGGTTATTTCTGGGTTATTTCAGGATTATTGAAAATAGCCTAGACACCTTCGATTCAACTTTATGTGTGTGTGCAAGTGTGTGTATATTAAGGTCAGGATTAGAATTGATGCGTGCTAGAAAATTCGCGGCGGTCCTAGAAATAACCTGAAAATAATTCAGGAATAACCTGCGCCGCACATAGAGCTACGTCAGTTCGCACAGAAAAATTTTTGGTGTGCAAGTATGTGTATCTTAAGGTCAGAATTAGTTTCATGACATCGTTCACAAAAAAAAAAAAAAAAAAAAAAAAAAAAAAAAAAATAAATTTTTTTTAATATAGATTTGATATTGGAGTATCTAATTTCGAATAGAGATTTTTTAATCCGATTTATTATATTTGTATTTTGATTAATAAAAAAAATTAAATTGGCAGAGCATGGTGTTCGAGAGCTTCGACATCCAAGCTGGGGTTGACCACACCAACGTTCCGACGGAGATGATGTCCGTCAATTCAACGGTCAAGATGTGGTTTCGAAATCCAGCGTCATTTTTCGGCGTCCACGTGTCTTCCACACCAATGGATCTCTACTATTACGATCTCCCGGTTGCGTCCGGCCACGTAAGCCAATTAAATCACCTCTTTTCCGGCCTTCTAATCCGTCGTGGTGGTGGGGTCGATCGCAAGTTAATGATGACGTGGCACAATTAATGGCATGTAAATCCTATATCGAATTAATTAATTAAAATTAAAATTTCGTGAAAGAATTGTTATAGTTAATTAAAATAAATCATTTAAATCTAAAAATATAGAAGGCCAAAAACTTTTATGATTTTTAATTAATACATTAAAAATTGTACAAAATTTCATATTTGTTAAAAGCTCTGCGGACAATTTACATTGAATACTACACTAAATATGCACATTAATTAATTATTTAACGTAATAATTAATTTAATTTATTATTTACTTTGATGAAGCCAAAGGTCTACTATTTGAAAGCAACAATTAATCTATTTGAAAAAGATTTTTAAGATTTTTTTTTTTTTTTTTTGGTGGAAATCAGAGATTGAATTTTACCGATTTAAAAATTAAAATAAAATTTAGGTCAATGAATTTCAATCAAATTTTAATTTGAATGATTGAAAATTGTTGAATTTATATTATGATAAAAAAATATTAAATAAAATTAATAATAAGACAATTTAGAATTTTACTGACTGGCTTTTATACTGGATCTGCGTTATCTTGAAAAAAAAAAAAGATTTTTTTTTTCACTCTAAAAAATAAATAAATAATTTATATAAACAGTTAATTCAAAATTTATATATTTATATGGGAATTGAGGCATTTTTAGCCATACCACCTAAACCTTACATTTTATATTTGATATTTTGACAAATTTACAAAAATAGCACTATGAGACTATTATTATTTTTTAAAAGTGAAATGTACACTTTCATGCATGGCTTTAAAATTGTATATTTCTAAAAACTAAAGTTTAGATGTTAGGTGGTAGTTATGTAATTCTTCATTAAATGTTTCGTTCAATATGAATTAAAGGCGAATTAATTACTAGACATAATCCCCCTCCAATTCATTCAATTTCCTTAGCATTCTTCTTTTCAGATCAATCCAAACACCCGTACTGCAGCTCCCCGCAGCTGTTTGGTAAATTTCGCAACTTGATTAATCTCGGCTCTTTAATGCAGATGGAGAGGTTCTACTCGTCGCGGAAGAATAAGCGTTTGGTTACGACGGTGGTGGTCGGAACGCAGGTGCCGCTTTACGGCGGCGGCGTTGGCCTCTCAAACCACAACTACGGCGAACCGCAGGCGGGGATACCTTTCAATCTTTCATTTGTGGTGCGTTCACGCGCGGATGTTCTGGGCAAGCTGGTCCGGTCAAGGTTCAACCACCGGATTCGCTGCTCGGTTTATTTGCATGTCTCGAGACTCGGCCGCCCGGTCGATCTCCGCCGCGCCTGCCAATATGAATGATAAAGAGTGAGGACCAGCGGCTTTGTTCATATTTATAAATTTCGGAATTTCATAATAAATATTTGCAAAAAATACTTAAATATATATCATTTTAGGAAGAGTTTAGCTAAAAATTTAAGGAGCACATAAATAGATATGACAGTGAATCCAAAAATAAAATAAAAAAAAAGGATTAAACCATCAATAGTAAATGCAAAAGAACTTTTTTCCATTTGGTTTTATGCATAGAGAGTAAAGTAAGAATAGTAATTTTTGAGTACTTATGAAATATTTAATTGCGTGTAAATGAAATGGGCAGTTTTTATTTTCCATGTTAACTAGTTATATAACATATATTTTATAAACGTACATATTCAAATCAAGTGTCTTGATTTATAAAAATTGATCTATATATATGTAAAAATAAGAAGATTTTTTTTTGAAATGCATCAAGTGAATAAAAATCATAAGGCATCTTCGAACTGCATTAGGGGATTGACATGAAAAGAGTCATTGTAGATATGTTGCATGTCCTAAAAAAGAAGCGTGTTTTGGAATAATTTTGGAAGTGCATATGAACATGCATATACGTAAAAATAAAAAGATTTTTTATTATGCATTAAGTGAATAGAAATCATAAGATTTCTTCGAACTGCTTGCATGTCCTAAAAAGAAGCCTGTTTTGGAATAATTTTGGAAGTGCATATGAACATGTAAAAATATGTCAGCACGAACCTCGCAGCAGATGAACGGCTCAGGAAGAAAATTAGATCGATCGAACATAGCCTTCGACGATCATTTTTGGTTGAATATTGGTAAGAGAAACATTTTATTCGAACGATCGACGGAAAGCTACAGGAGAAGCTCATGTAGGGCGCTAATTAGTCTTTAGGATGATCGATTGAGAGCGCTCTTTCGGACTAGATATCGATCGAGTCAAGGCTTACCAGACGATCAACAACTGCCATCAATCAAATCAATCTATGGTCTTAGTATATAAGAATAACTTTGTAATTGCCAACCCCCTTGAAAAGTTAATGACAAGATGACTAATATGTATTTTTTTAATGTTGTGGCCTATGACTATAAAGAAACGTCCATATACTGAATAAATGATACTCTCTTTTATTGTTCCCTATTATATTTTTTTTCTCTCTCCTTCTAATCACTTCTTAGAATAACATTCTATTTCTTGGGTGTGTTTCCCATAAACTTTTGAATTCACCGGCATAATTGGGCTAAAATACCATATTGACACCGTAAGCTTTTTCCCATTTATTTCTTTTGATGAAATATACTAAAAAGATTATTTTGAAGCAATGAAAATACATACGAATCTCCATATTGAAAATGTATTTTCCAACAATCAAAATTAATGCCCATAATGTACATCACCAGAAGTAAAAAACACCAGCTTTGTGCTTCATGGAATCAATCAAGAATGGAAGTTCTCAATATCACAACTTCAACAGCGCCTGTGCTTCGCCTAATCTTTGGTCATATTATTCTTACCCTCCGACCATCTTTCTCACATAAAAAACAAGAAAACAAAACTCCCATTGGCTTCAGCAGTATCTCATGTAACTTCACAGACTTGAAGTAGCATCTGGCGGCGGCAGATCCATGCGAGAACCTGTGGCAAGCAAGAGATGCAATCTTGGATAGAACCTGAACTCCGCTAGCTATAATGGAAAAATGGATAAATAGAAAAAACAAAGAATGTGAGATGTAAAGTTCACTAGAAGTTAAAATGCAGCAATGAAAAAAACGTAAATTCAATAATGCACTATAATGGATGGGAATCTTTTATGGTAAGAGTAAAATTTTTAGGGCACTTTAACTAACAAAAGATCTCATTTAAAAGGAAGATACATGTCTTTTGCCTCGCACAACATTTCTGATTTTGGACCAGAACAATACTAACTCGAAACGTGGAGAACAAACCAGTTTAAGACGAGTTTTCAGAACCGAAGTGCATTGTGCCCAAGCATGTCACCCCACTAACCGAAACATTTCTTAAATATATGGAAACTTACAAAAATATACTTACAAAACTACCAAAAAAAAACATACCTACAACTCTTCAAAACTGTTCGATGCTTGCTGTGATTAGAAAAACATAAAAATAATGAAAAAATACATGCTTTCAGGTCCATCATAAAAATATGATCTTGATTCCATATATTCCTTATGATTTTCAAACCCTATTGCGAAGCATAAATTGCTGCTGAAAATGGGAAGAACAAAACTTTTGTATTATGTCTCAAAGCCAATAAGACTTGGCAAGTGACTAAGAGTAATCATCAACTGAAGCAGTAGATGATGTTAATTTGCGAACGACGGCGATGAAACATAGGTGACGATTTCTCTAGCAAAGCTTTTATTGCATTATGATTGAAAATATGGTAAATTTCACTCGAAGGCAATATAAGATCATGCTGCTAGTTAACTATAGCGCCCTCAATATAAACAAAAGATGCATAATAGCAGCACACTTATTTTGCTAATCTGATACATAAGAAGTAGAGCGGTT